TGTACTTTGTTTTCTTGAGCAGTTAAACAATTTAGTAGCTACCATTCTTGATTGCAGCAATAAAGGAATGTTACAAGTGCTCACGGGAAGAAAAATGTATTTATATTAGTCTGTATTTAATACTTCCTACAGTAGGTCTACTGACAGTCTGATTTTATCTATTCTGTCTGAAGATTTGTGTTTTCGATGTTGTGTCTTGAGGTGAGCCTTGAGGCTTTATCCTTTTTTTTTCCTTCTGGAATACAAAGTTTGTATGCCACTTCAGTGGAAATGAGTGCATGCTCACACTCTATTTTTAACTTACTAATAGCATTTTCAATTATGTAATTGTATTTGTTCTTTGTATCCATAAATACATAAATGACTTCAAAATAAATTGTATGACTAATTAATTTTATGCATTTGAATTGAATAGAGTAAGTCAGACTTTTAAATATCTCAGTAGAACAGAAAATCTTTTGGAAACTATGGATGGTTCTACTAGACTCACTGTAGCTTCAATAGTAAGTATTTATTTCAAAAGAAGTTTAGCCCAAGTAAATGAAATTTGAAATTTTAAAACTCCATCTTAAGAAATGGAAACCAATGGTTACAGTCGTGGGTTTGACAATTAAGTGCTAACAATCTGAACACTCCAGTTAGTTCTGTGGCTGTTGATTAGGATTCCATGGTGATTAGTGAGTGTGAGGATGCAATCACATCCGTAGGATTTAATCAGTCTAGTGCTGGATGAGGTAGTCCGAAGATAAGAGAGAAACTAGAACTTCTGTATGTAGTATTGTATGTTTTTTTTTCCCCTTGCTGTAAGAAGAAGAAGAAGGACAAAAAGTAGAGAAGCCTACCTTTCCCCTCCTCCCTAAACTTGCAGATTTTTAAATTGTAATATTGACTGTTTAGTTCTGTGATGCGGGAGAATAATATTGTTAACACCTGTGAAGGGGAAAGACAAAGCCCAGGGATAATCCCATAGGCATACTCTCTGATGTTCAGCGTTCTTACACTTGTGAGCAGGATTTCTTTTTCCACGCTGTGCAACCATGTATCTGGTTTTCCTTTTTGTAAATCTAGGATTTTAACTGTTTAGCTTGGACGTATACACTATTTTCATGTGTCTTATTTTCTTCTGTTATACATTCTGATTATGTGCTGTCTTTTTAACACTGAAAGCATGTATCTTAAAAGAATAATGTACAATGTCCTCTGCCTTCCTGTGAAGCAGATAAGTGAATGTGTGCAGAAACAGAAAACCATTGTCAGTACTGTTGTCTACAAAGGAAAACTCTAAAGGAAAAATTTTTGGATCTCTGCTCTGCACAAAGCTTCTTTGTGATCTTTCTGACTCTGAGTGAAGGTGACCATGTGCTGAATCCTCCTTTAGAACTATCTGCAGTGGTACATTCTTAACTTAGAGGAGGGATGGTGTTGTTATCATCTGGCAGTGCAAGCAGCCCTCCCATTACTGCCCTTCGGTTTACTGCTACTGCTGTCACAACTTTTCTCTCCTCTACTATGTATAGCTCCATTTGTGTAAATAGCATTGCCCACTTCTGTGTAATTTTTTTTTTTTTGTTACATTATTTTGCATTAGCACCTATGGATCTCTATTTGTCATATATTCATATAACAGAAGGTTGTTCCTACCCTGCAAAGCTTATAATCTAACAGCAGGATTCATGTTTTAAAGCAATGTTTTCTGAGAGCATATTGCGATGCAGATTATGATGTTTGGGTTTAATAGCAGGAGCTGTTCGTTTTATGTATATTTATACAATGTCTAAAAGAATAGGTGTGGCTGAGCTTTGAAGTGTTTCAGTGAAACTAGTTAACGACAAGCATTAGTAAATACTTACATGAACATGTAGAAGGCTTAGGAGATTCTTGTGGCTGTTTCATTTTTATTTAGAATATGGTCTCTAAATGGCTGCAGTACCTTCCCGAACCAAGCATCAGCCTGGAGAGGACAAAACCATAAATTAATTAGGTACATTTAAGGAGTGGGAGAATAAAATGCCAAATGTATTAAAAAGGACTAAGTATTTCACTGTTCCTGTTAGCTGCCCCCTGCTTCTATGCCTATATTGTGTATTACACAAACTGCTGTACCTCAGGATTCTGGTTTTCCACTTGGTTTATGTTTGGTTCAGTTAACTTTTGCCTCCTAAGGAAGCAAAAAATCAGTGGGACTGTATTAACTTTATTTTGTAGATCTCTGAACAAGATTCTGCTATTGCACTTCTGGCTGAAAGGTCCTATAGCCTAGAATATCTAGCAGATATTTTTGAAATAAACTATATAATGTAATACCATATTAGAATCAATAGTAGTGCATCAGTGCAGACAAACAAGCAAGATTTATAGGGAAGAGAAATATCTTTCAGTTAGGCAACTGTTTGTAGCTTAAAAAAGGCCAAAAAACATAAATAAGCTTTTGAACACACAAGCTCTTCTTGACTAGTGTCACTAATGATAGTGATTTTTCTTGAATAGTGATAATACTAATTACTTTGAAGAGAAAGAGAAGGAAGACAGAAAAAATGCATCTTCTTTGTAGCTGTATTGGTAGTATTTACATCTACAGTTCTTAACTCCAAAACTCATTCACTGTAATGTTAAATCATGGAGTCATAATAGGCTGTCTGTGAATTTAAGGAGTGACAAGTTTGTAAGTGGAACACAGGTGGACTAAAATACTGTAGCACCAAGTGTTGATTTCTATTTCATCAAGTTGCAATGACCTGCCTAATATAGCCCAGTACCAGTCTGTATTTGAGTGCAGAGAACTCCTGCTCCACTCAGCAGTCATTAGCAGTTGAACCACACACACCAGTGTAAATATCAGGGCAACAAATTTACATGAGCTACAGTGTTCAGGTGTAATTTTTATTTCTTTCGATCCTACCATAACCATGAAATACTCTAAACTATATGTAGTTCTGTGTTTGCTCTTCACTGTATGCAACACAACACACTGAGGGAGCAGTAGAGTTTGTAAATCCACCTTGAAGGCCAAAGAGATGAGGCCAAATTCACACAAGATTACCGATCTCGTTTCCAGGAGAAAACCCCCAAAATTATAAAAAGCATTACTAAATATCCGAGTATCTAAAGTTAATCTAAAGTAATCTCAGAGTCCCCAAAGCTCTAGTAGTAATCTGCATTTTTTTTCCCTACTAGCATAAAGAAAATAGTACTTAAGCTAATCTTCTACTTTGAAAAAATAAAACATTAGGTGGAAAGATACTGGCAAAGAAAAGCAAAGTGCACTATCTTTGCTGTGAAATTTCAGTAATCTTCCTTTTAGCCTTGGCTGCCAGACTGATGGTGAAGAAAAGCTTAAACATCCTCCCTCCCTTGTGCATATTATTACATGCCTCTGAAACTTTTTTCTTCTGCTCTGTTATTCTCCTTCTTTGTGAGCTCTCACAAAAAGAAAGGGAATAGATTATAATAATATTGTAGCACCAACGCTATTGTGTTTGCAGTAGCCTTAGTCCAAGATAACGATTTGATTAGCATGGCTTTTTCACTTACTGGAATTAAAGATACGTGGATTTTCCTGGGATTCTGTGCTTTCAGAATGATTTTTTTTCACCTTCTTTCTTCATCTGTATGTCTGTGTGAAGAAGGCGGAGGTTTCAAATCGGTACAGAGCCTTCAGTAATAGCCAAGGGCAAAAAATTAGTGCAATGCGTCATCACAGTCACTCCTGCAATGTCCTATGCAACGCATTTGTTCAAAAGGACCATTGTTCCTTAAATCACTGATGATAGTTCTTCTAAATTTTTTCCCTGCAATGTAGTTGCTATAAATGAGGTTTGACATTTCCAATTTTGTTATTTGAATGGCCTCAAGGAGGCTTTGAAAAGTTTGACACACAGAATATGAAATGCTTAACAAGGGTATTAAAGATAAACTAATAGTTCATAGTGCAGCAAAGAAGCAGAGTGATTTAGTGCATTCTAGCAATCCAAAGACTTTTAATGGTGTTGAATTACATTAAAAAAAATTAATTGCTTTGATTGAATTTTTGATAGAGTTATCTTTTTCTAAAACATTTAAACTTTTCCTCCCTTTCTTCTGTAGCTTCTTTTGCTTCTAGCTATATAACACACAGAAGTTGTATATGTTGGCAGTAGTCATAACAGATAAGCAGAGTTATTCCCTTTGCTAGAGGGTGTAAAATCTTGATCCCGCTGATATTAGTGAGAATTTTGCTCTCAGCCTCAGGACTTGAATCAAAAAAAGCACCCTTTGCTACAGCTGGGTTTGAGTTTTCTAACAGAAGCAATTAATTGTGACTACTTAAGAGATCCGTATCACACTTGTAATCTTACAGGTGGCTTAAAGGGGAACAAAAGAGATGCTTTTCTGAGTCAATGCAGATATTGCAAAAATGAAGCAAAATCTTTTTGATATAGAACTTTGTTTATTCCCCTTTATGCTTTGGTCCATTTTGCAGCCAGACTGGTGTGGTTCATATATTTGATGTCTGACTTGCAAAATTTTTAATCTTATTAGTAAGAGGAAAAGATAAAATTATTTTTAGCTTATAAAATAGAAGTAGTTTCATTTGTTGCTAGAATTTGTTTGTAGTCTGTTAAACTCTTAATGCTACTAATTTTGTATTTCTAAATGTATATACTTTAATGTGGAAATAATTATTTTTGCACACTCCCCCAACAAAGCAGTATCCAGAGAGAACAAATAATATTCACCTGCATTTCATGTGCTTCTAATCTATATAAATCTTCTAGCTGATGGACTTGTGAAAATAGTTACTTTTTTGTTTTGAATATGTGAATGATTTCCAGGTTATTTCTTTGCTTTGATAATTGCAAAGGAGACTTCAATTTTGTGATCTTGAATTTCAGTTTCACAAATTATATTTATGCTGTTGGTTTATCACAGCAGTGTGTCTTCTCTCTAACACAGACAATAGTAAATACAGCTTTGGCTTGAGGAAAGCTATTCTTTTTTTTTTTTTTTCTTGGTCTCTGTAGAAATACTGCAACACAGTCCAGCTTGATTCTGGAATAGACTACAGGAAACGAGTGCTTCCAGCTGCTGGAAAACTTTACTACCTGTAAGTTTATCTATGATATTGTATTTGCTCTCTTTTTCCTTTTTATTAGCCAACAATTTCCTAGTCAATGGGAAATGAAAAATGTATAGTAGAATTAGCAGGGTGTGACTTTTCCTTTTTTTGCCTTCTGGTCCATTTTGTTCAGCAAACCGCCTTCCATTATGCCTTGATATTAACTTCATTAAACTATATTTTCAGTATCCACACTAGCATCATTTATAATGTGTGACTGAATAAAAACTAATTAGATTTTTTGGGGAGGTGTGGTGTTTGGAGAACTGAAGTGACAGATGGTTAGAAAGTAATGAATATCCTCTTGTGAGAGATTGCACAATTCTCTTATAATAGAAGAACATCCTTATTGTATTTAAGTAATTAAGTATTTATAGAAATCCAATGACAAGGATTCATTTAATTTTGGGTGTTTCGAGTGCTGTCGATGAAAAATCCCAACACCCTCCTGTTTTGACAGATTGTTTTTGTTTGTCATGACAAAATTTCTTTAGCCCTTTATATTTGCAAATAAATAATTTTTAAAAGATATTCACATTTATGCTTATGGTTGCAGCATAAATCTGCCTAATAGGAACATTCTCTCTTTTTTAAAAAAAATACCTTGAAACCTTTGCAATCCAAACGTTTTTCTGTCTTGTATTTGCTCTTGTAGTATTATTCAATCAGTGACAACCTGAACAAAGCAGACAACAATTGCTTAGTATGAGATTTATAACTATTCTAGCTTTCAACCCAGCGTATAATATTGATCATGCTTCCATTAAGAAAGGTGTGGTATTTTTATCACTGTGATAGGTATTTGAGACCAAGTATGTCCATGTCACTTTATTATAAAGTTAGATATCATAGTTGTTGTAGGAAGGAGGAATAATGCTTAGAAGAGTTACAACAGGTAACTCTTTCTGCTTCTGGAAGGAAATGACAGAATTTTATGTATGGAAAACAGGTCCAGTGCAGGTTCTGTATCCTCAAACAAATTGTGACTGTATGAACTCGAGAAAAGTAGCTCTTATTCCATATTCTTGTCTGGCTCCGCTTTCTCTAAGCTTTGCCGTGTCTGCTTTAGAGGTACTTTTTGAAGCCACCACTGATACCTCTGATATCACTGATATGCTCATCGTGGCTCTTGTTCCGATTGCCGCCGTCCCGGCTCACGGCACTGCTTCCTGTGCCTGCTGCACTCTGTGACTTTGTCTGACAATTGTGGAGAGCACCTGCTGTATTCTTTTCTCAATGTCCATGCTCAGAAGAAAGCAAGAGCACACTGGTGGTTTCTAGCAGGTAATAGGCCTGTGGCAGCAGCTCTCAGTGGAGAAGAAATACAAACAAGTCGCAGGACTAGTACCCAGCTGAAATATATTTCATGGTGATCTACTGTAAAACTTGTGATCAAGTGAATGGCAGAGATTGGAGATGTCTGTCTTGTATTCTCTTATTGAAAGGATGTGGGTTACCTTCAGAATTTGATGTGTAAATCATTAGGGAGAACTGAGGGGAAAAAATAATTTAAAAAATCCTGTAGCTGCCAATGGAATAAGATACTTATTTCATCATCCTTTCTTTTTCTGAGGGAATCTCATTCATTCTTCTATTCAGACTTGTTCACTGGAGCTTTCAACACTGCAGAACTAGCTTTGTTTTAAAATTAGGTACTATGCAGTATTTTGGTACAGATCTTTGAAATTTAGTTAGCAGTCTTGTCCCCAAAAGAAGTTGTTCTTGTCTAACATGTTTTCATTCCTCTATTAAGGGTCATAGTATTATTGTCACATTTTGTTAAGAATCCTCTTGATGCTTCATATTTTGTGTAGTCTTGTCTTCATTTAAAATGTGCAACTGAGAGTTGCTTAAAGCTGTTTCATACTCATCTGAGAGCCATCAGTGTAACACCATTACAAGATGCCTGATCAAAGCAACTTCATTGATCTCAGTCTCGGGTGTCTGTTTTCAAAACAAACTTTCTTGGCAATTAGGTGCAACACTCCACCTTGGCATCATATTCAGCTGTTTCTTGTTGTAGCCTTTCCATCGAACTTTTTGATTATGATATGCATGCATATGGACATACTCTCTGATAAAGATATATACACTCCTTCCTCCCTTCTATGGTCTTTTTTCTGTTTTTGTCTGGTCATTTTGTCAGAGGAAAGCAGCATGCAAATATCAGTGTTGAGAGAAACTTGTAGAATTTTATATCATCTGCTAGTCAGAAACGGTTTCTCAAAGTGTTCTGCATTTACACAAGTTTGTGGGTTTTCTTTTCCCCCAAATTCTTTGTATCTACAAGGCTTGTTATTGTTAAGCTTGAGCTAAAAAGTAGTTATTTCAGTTCTGCTGTTAGTATTTTTAAGGTGCTTAAGGCCTAATAAGGACAGTAATTGTGTCACTCGCTGATCTTCATTTTTCATATAGAGCGTGTCTAGAACTGTATGAAGCAATAGACCTTCCACACCAAAAGAGACTGTACAAATGTCAATGAAGCATTATATATCCTAGTTTTAGTTTGTTGTCTACAGTAGCATTAATTTACTATTCTTAGCTAGAAATATGATCTATCTGGCTGTATCTATCCATCTCTAAGAATGAAACATGGAAAGATTTGCCCTCTAACCCATTCAGTGATAAAAAAAAATTTCTAATTGGACTGAGTTATAATTGTTGTGTCAACCAGAAGATGAATATAAACTTCAGCTCTCAGCACAGGTATTTTGCATTTTCACCCTCTGTCTTGGGAACAGAGTTTGGGGGGGAAACTGATAAAATTACTATTGCAGAAATTATACTGGTATTTTTAATTTCACAGTTTAATTTTGCAAATTGTTAGATCAATACAATCAGTTGACTTGACCTCGACACCACCCCTCCCCCAAAAAAAGAAGAAGGTGCTTCAGCATTTAATTTCACAAAGTCCCCTCTCAGGAATTTCAAAGAATACTTCTTTGGGTGCTTGACTGCCTTGCCTTGTCTATTTGCTCTTATTTTGCATGCAAGATAGAGCCAGAAGCCTTTTTTCTCATTGTGTACACATAGTGTTAATGGATCTGCTCTGTCTGTATTGCCTCATTACTGGAAACAGCTTGAACACAGAAGTCTTTCAGTGTATGCAAATAAGGCAGAATCATCTACCTGAGAGTTAATATTCTCTACTTTTAAGTGTATTCTAAATGTAATGTTTGTATTTAGAGCATAACATCCTGTTCCCTTTTTTTATGGGCAAAAAGCTAAGCAGGCTCAGGCAGCTGTTTGATGTTGGCTTCAAGTGTTATTAATTTCATATTCTATTATTCTTTTCACTGTAGCACAAGTGAAGCTGATGTGGAGGCTGTCATGGATAAGTTGTTTGATGAGCTGGCTCAGAAACAAAATGATTGTACGTAAGTTAATTTCTCTTGAAAGAGAATACATTTAGAACACAATGCCCAATCTCCACTGACCAATTAATAAGTTCCATTGCTGTATATGGGTTGATGCCACACTCAAGTGGCAGTCATTGTATCAGCATTTTGTCTAATTTATGTGTTGAATCATGTGCTATTATTCATGAAGCTATGCATTTCCTATCTGTAAGAGATGAATTTTATAGTAATTATCCAGAGAAGATTGAGTCTTTGTTCATGTTCCCATAGTAACTAGACCAAGGATTCTAAAAGTGCAAGGCAGAGAGCTGAGGCTGAATAAAGCGTGTGGAACCATTGCAGACTTCACGTTTGAAGAGCTATGCGACAGAGTAAGTACCCAGTCCAATCTAGATCAGTTAATGCTCAGACTTTTCACAGTTTAAAAGAAAAAAAGAAAAAAGAATCCAAAACACACAAACTCACTATTTTCCCAAGTTGAACTAAATTAAAAAGACTTTTTTTAACTTGGCAAAAAGATTTTTAATTTAACAGGAAAAAAACGTGCACCCTTGGCAAAAGAACAATAATAATTTTCTTTTTAATGATACAGTAAATTCACTCTTAGGTGTATCACAGATTGTCTTCAAAAATCCTTCTGCAATATTTACCTGGACTAACATCATTGTTGTTGGTATATTAGTGGTCATAACATATCAGTATGTAAATAGCATTCAAATGCTGTTTTTAAAATCTGGAGTTTAAGTTGATGCTCAAGCAAATGAATAGTGATCCTGGCACCACTACAGTAACACTGTTGTTGCATGCCGTAGTTTGAACTATGTGTACAAGGGCTGTTCAGTCCCAGGACTTCTCAAAATATGCCGGATTTTGGTAAATATTGCCAAATTCTCTACTTAAACCTGTGGGATGTGATCCCTGGAAAGCTTTGTTTGTATATGACCCCCAGTGGGTTGGAAGACAGTTTCCCAGGAGTTGCACTGTACTTAGTGACCTCTCTACTGATGTATAAAGTTATTGTTAAATGATCACAACCCTAAACTGGGCTGATGGCACTTTTGATTCAGGATGCTGACTAGTCTTTTGGTGATAACATTGTGCTTTCACTTCCTTGTAGCTACCAAGTTGATAACTATTTGGATGGAAATTTCACTGGTTAAGTTTCAGACTGTAGGTTTTAGACTGTTGGTTTTCAGTTTCAGACAAAACCAGTTAGCCATTTGTAAGAATGGAGGTATGTCATGGGTAGAACGGCTTGCTTTTCACTAGAAGTTGTGAGACTTTTTCTTCCTTTTGCCTCTTAAAATATCTGGAAGTGATGCTGTCAGCAGGTACTTTTAAAATCCTTTAGTCCAGTAAATGCCTTATGTACTTAAATGGGATGGTAGGTTGCTTCTAAGTAGAAGTGCTCTGATAGGTCACATGTGAATGGCCACTACTTTGGGTCTGAAGGTTCTGATCCTCTTCAAGTATTACGTGGAGTTCAGGTCTTCTTGGCGTAATGGAGCTGAGGGGCTTGGTTTGCACTCAGAACAAGTAAAGAGAATCCTTATGAAATGTTAAACACTGTTTAACAGCACTGTGCTTACATTGATTGCCCAGGACTTAGGAAGTCATGCTGTCTTGATTTAAATGCCTTCTGCATATGTGTTATGGTAGTGTCTAACAGCGCAACCACATGCTTATAACTAAGACAACATGGCAGACAATAAATGTTTTTCTTTAACAGCTTCCTCAGTCATCGCTTATTTTCTTTGTATATGCCTCCATTTTTTTCTGCTTTTAATTGTTACATACAGTTATTTATTGTGCCATGATTTTTCTCTTCAGTTCACTGATGTACCTTCATAAATATTACATTAGTATGTTTGTAAGGGGTATCTCTGTGCTCCCTTTATAGGTAGAGAAGTATAGTCATGAACTTGGAATTGTGCATTAAATTTGGAGGCTTGAGTTGCCTCCAGTATGATTTTTTTCATGATCATAACTTTTGTAATGATTCATAGCAACAGTAGAAAATTCCCCTTGGTATAAGCTGCATTTAGGATCTTACCTGCCCCATTGCTCTGTTTGACCACCCTGTTGCCATTAAAATCTCCTAAAAGGCAAAAGAAAAAATCAGAATTCAGCTCTCAAACCATGAAACCATGTTCCTTTTTTTTGTGAAGTCTTTAACTTTTTGATGGAAAAACTTAAACATGTAGTGTCTTTTTTAAACCATCAGAGTTGCTCCCACTCATGTCACAGAAGACATAGGTAGGATCCAGAAGAGTGCCCCAGTGGTTTATAGCAAAAAATACCCCAAAGCCAGGAGACATTCCACACAACAGGAAGTATAAAGTCATTCATATATATTCCAGTAAGCTGGAATGGGAAGTGGGAATGATTTGTGGAAGTATAAAGCACAAATCTGTAGGGGACATAGCTACAAGGTATTTGCTCCTTCTTGTGAAGCCAAATGGTGGGTAAGTTGACAGGCATCCTAAGTGCTACTATTAAGAAAAAGGAAAGTAGGAGGCTGAAAAAGAGGTAATGAAAAGCAAAATCCGCAAAAGAAAGTATTGGAGGGGAATTTGTTGGATTTGCGTGGAGTGAATCTGCAGGTTTCTTTGTGCAGGACATGGGGACAAAGTCCCATGGGAAGGCAGATTGTATAAAGAGACATGAGGCTCCTAGCTGGAGCCTGTAGCAACCAGGGTGGAGCTTAGCCCACCCTGGGCTCAGCCCAAGCAAAGCCTCCTAGGTAGATAAACGACATTTAAAGTTACTATAGTAGGAGCCCATTAAAATTATAACAGAACTGAAAACAAGATTTGCAGTTGGTTTTATATCGGTTGTAAGACCTGGTGACAAGCATGATAAATGGTAAATTCTCATTAATGGGGAAAAATGAGATATAACTGATATTATTGAAACCTTGTGGGACAATTCATAAAATAATAATGTGCAATCAGTGCTTACAGCCTACTTAAGAACAGAGTGGCTGAAACAGGTGGAAGACAATGTGCAACATTAAAGATACTGGTACCTGCCTTAAAGTTAATTAATACAAGGTTCTTGAATACATATCAATCAGTCTGCTAATTAACAAACCCAAGAGGGTAGTACTCCTAGGGATCTCTTGCAAATAGAGAATGAGGTGGATTGCTTCTTGAGCATGTGGCTATAAAAAGCATAAAAATACACCATTGTATGGGAATCTTATGCTGAAGATGAAGCACAGAAGAAGGTGAAATGTAATTATCCCAAAAATTGCAAATGATAATTTTCTAGCATAAAATGCAATACATCCAGTACAAGGTCATTTGGTTGGAACAGCTTTATGGGAACTTAAACTGATGAATTCATCTAGAAATTTGTGTTGTGCAGCAACAATCTTCTCCTTAATTTTCTAACATTCCTTGAAACCAAAAGATACTTCCATACAGTGAAGTTGCATATTTGATTTTTCAGGAAGAGTAGTTTTTAAAAGCAAAAGGGAAGTATGACTAACTGGAGAGGGAAGTGTAAATGACAGCAACAAAAAAGGAGGACTCTTTGAGGAGGAAGATAGGAAAAGTATTTCCTGTGTCACTGTTGAGACAGAATCAAATAATATGGAATGAATGGCAACTAGTTATGAAGTGCAGGAAAATTATAAAATAAAGGTAACGGGAAAATATCATGTCTCAGATAAAAGACTTGTTAAGTAAAATGGCAGTTTTGATATGGTTTATATTATCTGAATGTTATTGGCTTATTCCTACTTGGAGGTGGATGAACTTTAAATAATGATGTGGAAAAAGGAAAAGGTTTTGCAAAAAATATGTGTTCTAGGTGAAGCAGAGTGGAATACTGTTTCACTAAAGGGTAGTGAAATAATTTTCAGTCTGTTAATAGTTAGCATATGTTAAAAGTAGCCTGCAAATATATTTTGTATCACTGAGTCCTGGAAAACTAGGGTGAGATCTCTGACTACCTTTTTATTTTGGATAAACGTTGGAGTCCAAGAGCAAGTCCACATCACTAGAAGGATGCCTCTGTATGCCAGTATTAAAAAATAAACAAGTAAAATTCGCACATACACGTGATGACTGGTATAACTGCGGATGTTGGTAAGATTTTAGTCCAGAAAGGGTAATAGAGGAGCTGGTTCTGGATTCATACATGCAGATGACTAAAGAATGGAAATGAAATTAATTCTCCAATCACCCTGATTTTGTAGGAGGAGTTGAGTTTTGAAAATGCTGTTCTTCCTAGGAAATTAGCATTATGCAGTCTCAAGGAAGTATTCGTTAAATGGATTGCTATGTTAGTTAACTAACATATAAAAAGAATTATTACTGAAGGTTTGTGGTTGAGTGTAGCATTCTAATAAGCATATTTTTATACTAAGCCAAATATAATAGTTCTTTTCCCCAGCAGCTTTGAATATATCATAAATGCTAATACAAATTTGCTGTAAATACAGAGTGCTGTGTGTATTGGGGGGAAGAGCAATGAATACAAGGATGCTGTGTGTGATTTATTTCTCATCCGAATGGAGATTTTGGGGAAAGTGTTTTTTTTGGGCAAGAGAGTTTGTTTTGTTTTGCTTTTTTTACATCTAAGCAAACACACAGTTTCCAGGTAGAAATTGGGAACACAAGTCACAAACAGAGGAGGAGACTGTGCCCTAGGCAAAGTGACTTGGAAATAGATTTAAGGATTGTAATGGACAGGCAGCTCAAAAGGAGCTTCTGGTCCAGCGTTAGAGCATTTAGACCTTATTTCATCTAGGGTGGGTAGAGTGGAAATAAATAGAAGGGTAGGAAGTTTATTTTAATTTTAGAAACATCTCAAATTGATGGCAGAATGTTAGGTGTGGTTTTAACCTGAAAACTTTAGAAAATACATTGAAAAACCTGACAGGGCTGTTGAAGAAACCACAAATCATTTGAGCTGGAGCATTTGTTCACTCAGATGACAGACTTACAGTTCAGTTTTTTTCAGCTTATCAAAAAGAGGACTGGAAGATGATTTTATAACATACAGCTATTTTCACAGGGAAAAAACCCCCCAGGTATTAGCAAGATCCTAAATCTAGCAGAAGGCAGCATAATAAAACCCAGAGACTACAGAGAGATCCAAATTAAAAAAAAAAAAGTAAAAAAGGAAAAGCACCTGTTCACACATTTGAAACAGTGAAGAGAGTGGCAGAGCCTCCTTGTCCTGTGTTTCAGGTCAAAACTGGATGTCATTTTAGGAGGAAGTGTTTGTGTTTGAGCTACATACTAGTTTTTAGGCTTAGCTGTCTCTAAAATGGAGGATCTTGAAGTACCTCACGATCTCCTCTGGTCTTAAATTGTCTTGAAACTAAGGATGTGAGAGTCGGTCCCTGCTGCCCGTTGGAAGCTGTGTCACTGCCCCTGCACATGTGGTGAACAAGTTCAAGCAGCTGTCAGGGGAATGTCCCCAGTCCAGGGGACTGGGTATAACCTGCTCTCAGCCCCCTCATGCTTTTCGAAGGTAATACTTAGTCTACTATGAATCGTTGCAGTCAGTTCAGACTGAGTTTTTCCAAGGCTTGTAACTTCCTTGGATTCGAGGGGGATTTCACGGGACATATGTAGGACATTTCCCTGGTACCAAGCAACCTTTCTTCAGAATTTTGCATGCCTTGGTCTATGTCATGGAAGCACTAGAACTCATTGAGCTAAAAGAAAGTAATTTGAGGAGCAAATTAGTCAGAAAGTAACTAAGTTACTCTCAGAAATACAGTAATTGACTGAAACTTTTACAAGTAAATTTCCATTCACACAGAGATGCATGTTCATATGAAGTCAGTTTGAGGCATCCATTCAGAATGGGAAAGTTTCAAGATGAAAACTAGTTTTGTCATGGAAGGTGGATGTCAAATCTTGTTTACATGTTTCCCATCTAGTAAATACAAGGTAGTGAGAGTGTGTGTGTGTATGTGTGTGTGTGTGTGTGTATGTGAAAAAGATTACACTGTCAACATCTTCTGACAGAACAACTCAAAATATCATCTAATTTGATTTAGTTAATGTAATTAACTTGGTTAAACTCATTTCCTCTGTTACATTTGGTTCATAACTACAAAAACATTTTTTAGTTTAAGGTAGAGGGATAAGTGAGTGTAATGAAGAGATTTTGGGGTTTGGGGGAATTATTTTTGATTACACTGAGTTCTTGCAATATTATCTTGTAGTTGCAACATTATTTTTTGAGTTTTCTGAAACTGTCTTAAACTGCTGCTCATGTGGGTGTCAGTAATCATTGCAGCATTGAGTGGACAATGTTGTACTCAAAACCTGGTTAATTGATTCCTTTGGCAATCCGTAACCCCTAAGGGTTCCAGAAAAAAGAACTTAAGTTTTACAAGAGTCAAGTGAATGGAGAATGTGAAAGCATAGATGCTTTTGTTATGTTTGAGAAATAATTTATCACACAAGTGACTCTACCTTTCACTTCATTGCAACAGTGTGTCTTCTAGTCTGGTCTTGGGTAATTGTTACAGTGCATTCCAGAGGGATAATCACATAGACCTAGAAATCTGTGTTTGTTGGTGTAGGATTAAGACAATGTGTTTGAAATTTCTCAGACAATTACTTAGTGACTTTTGTAATTAAATATTTCATATGAACAGCCTGTAAAACCTCTTCAAATTCACTGATGTTTCCTTCATCAAAGTAAAATCAAAATTCTATTTTAAAGGGAAATATTAAAACATTTTCCACTTTGATATCACGTGATTTCAGGAAATGTCAGATAATACATAATAGATGAATATAGCAAATCAGCAATTGATAATCTGATACTATTTGAAACATCTAGCTTAAGCAGAAGTTTCAAAGTAGCTGCTTTTTAATTAGTACCTGAAGGCCTTGAGAGAGTTGGTGCCTTTCTAGTATTACAGTCTTTTGTTTCTTGTTTCATGTGTTTGCATTAAACCTTTTCATATCAAGAATATAAAGACTTAATTCTGTCTAAAATAATGCATCAGATACTGTTAATTGCCAGTTGTCCATTAATGATTATAAAAATAAAATACAGATAATATATCGTGTGCAATGCTGATATGACATTCCGTTGACTTGCCAAACTATTGTGTGCATCACTTTTTAAATCATAGATTCCCAGTTGAGGAAAATCCCAAGTTTTAGCTAACTTAGTTAATGTCAAATGCATACACTTAGCTTTTTTTCTTTACTGGCTATTTGACCATGTGGAATACTACAAGATGCTGGATGAGAGGATATTGATCTATTTTGGTTGCTTTAGAGCAAAATGAGAAGCAATTTTTCAGACTTGACACTCCAGGGTTTCTGTGGAGTGTGGCACATGATAGTGTTTGTCATGGCATGAAAGTAGCTGTCTACTCGCTAGAATGGAGCCCTGTAAATGTGATTCTCCAGCAAAGTCATCCAGGAAGGACTGTGCTTGGTTTTCATGAAAATGTTTATTATTTTATCACCTTTTCTAAGGCCCCATAAAATGAAAAATGTAGCCAGAGAAGGCTGGGAGAGGTACTAGGCAGAATAGGGACTCAGTTCTTATTTATTGTAGAATTTCAATGCTAACATTAGCTTCCCCATTCTTTGTGGCCTTTAATTTCTTCCTGCCAGTTTCTCGTTTCTCTGTCTATGCAATGAGGGATACACTTACCAATGGAGTTAGATTCTTGCAAAACATAATTAGTTAATTTTTTCATTGAGTTAGTGTGTGAATGAAAGATCACACAAATACTTTTAAAAATAAAATGTACATATCAATTTGGTTTTAAAATATCTCTATATAAACTAGCAATCCTGCAAATATAAGTTATATCCCATTTCCCTGTGTTTACACATAAAGGTCAGTGTTCATTATGCCTTAGCAAAAATCACCCTCTGCCAGTCCTCTGTCTTCACTTTCCTTTTAAAATTTTACTTGAAAACTGATAAGTGTGACAGTTTGGCTTGAGTCTGGTATAAATAATGTAGACAACAGTGTACCTTATGTGTAATCTTCCAGGTCCTAAGGGAGTCGAGAGATCCAGTCTTCCCCACAGTGCTGCCTTTTAGTCTTCCCCTCGCTTGTGCGCAGCAGCTGCTGCCCTCTGCCGGGAACGCTGGCTGCCTTCTGCGCCCAAACACGTGAGCCTGTTCCTCACAAAGGTTGAATTACTTTTGTTCGTGCATCCTATAGTCTTTCCATTAGGTAATCAAATATATCCTTTCATCCAACTGCCCAGTACCAATGAACAGTGTCTTAATATGATACTAACCATTAGCCAACACACAACAGTGTGAAAGCTAGGAAAATAAATTTAATATCAATATCTATGTTGGAAAAGGTTATCCTACTGTGATTTTTTTCTCTAGTAGTTGTTCAGCATTTCTGAAATTGGCAAAATACAATTTTTGTGTAGATTAACGCAATAAATAATTGGCAAACAGTTTTTGTTAGGTCGTTATTCCATTGCAATAGGCACGCTCTGCAGACCAGGAGGAAGACGTAGTTCCTGACTTGAATAGCTTGCTCTTCAAAAGGAAAGATGTGACTAAGCTTTAAATAAAAAGAAAAAAAAAAAAAAAGCAAAGAAAAAAGTCACAATTTTCAAAGGCAACAAGTGATTTAGAAATGCAAGTGTCTGTCTTTAAGTCAACTGAATGTCTCCCCTACATGATGACATAACTCAGCTGCATTTGCAGTTTAATGATTCTGAATCATTTTGAGGGAATTACCTTCATTAAAAACTGCTAAATTTATCCACTGTATAATTTGGTGTCATCTTCAGGATTGTAGGATTGTCAAGTGTAGTTGTAAATAAACATACCATGGGTAGCACTATTTTCAGTAACCTTTTAAAAGCATAGTTTTCCTTGGTTTAGGATCTTAGGTTTATTCCCAGCCAAAGATCAGCTTTTGCAGCTTAAATTCTGGACTCAGAACCTGTCATTTATTAGCTACATTTGCTTTAGAAATTTAATCAGTGTCTATACCCCCAAAAAAGTTGTCTTGTCTAACTCACAAGTATGTTTTATAAAAGAAACTCAAGAAACTTATTTCAGGTGGAAATATTGTAACACAGTAATAATTTTAGCCAAACTTCCTTCCTGTTTTATATTTTATGTGTATCAGAGCTTAATTTTTAGAAAGCACTCCCTTCAGTGAAAGCTGCATAAACCTTGAGGGTTTAGATCCTGTACTTTATAGACCAGGGAATACCCAAATAAAAGCTGATTGTAGTTTGAAGGGTTGGCTTTTTAATTCAATGTTTTGTATCTTAAATTCCCAAGTGTACTACTTTCTCTTTTTTTAAAGGTTTGTTGACCACGGTTTTGAAATCTTAACAGTAAGTGTCAATATTTAAATAGATATATGAATTTTTTAAGCCTTCTGTTTTGGAGACCATTTCACTGACAAATGCCATACTTTGGAGTTGGAACTGGAAATTTAGCAGTGGAAATTTGGGAGCAGAAACATGCCTTTTGTGGTTCTTCCACTTTGCAGCCAGCTTTGAGCAGCTGATAGGTAGGTCTTTGAGACATCTCACTTTTTGTAGGGTCATTATGGATATCTGTCACTGTTCTAAGCTCTTCTAAGGCAGGAGTGGTTGCGCTGAATGATGACTGAACATAGGAGCAATCATCTTCTTAATCAGAAGAGCAAAGCTCTGAAGCAACTTTCCACTATGAGAGATGTGACTAAAAGCTTGTGCTGTAAGGTCAAGCAAAATTAGTTTCTGCCAGGTAAGAAGTATAGTAAAGAGCTATACTCGATCCAGAAAATACCTTCAATCCCAGGGTTCACAGATCTCAGATTCTTGCTCTACTGGTTGAACTAGATGATATTTACGTATCTTCCAACCCAAACTGGTCTATGGTTCTATGATTTGCACTGCCATCAATATCTTTAAATTTTTTAACACAGTTAGCCATGCTCTGTCTTTCCATTTTTATTTAAACTTCAGCATGCTGCTGCATTACAGATCATGCCTCAGGTTTTTCTGTTCCTTTCTTGAAATTATGGTCTCGAAATATTATCCAAGTAGTATTTCTCTGTTTTATCAGACTCAGTAATGATTGTGTGTGGCTCCTTTGGAAACAACAGAGCTCTATATTTTTTTGTTTATGCTTAATGTCTAATTTGTAAATATTATCTGGTCTTAAATTGTGTGTTGGTTTTAGTAATTTTTTGGTTGTTAGAATGTCTGCAGTAAATTATAGTTATTGTCAATTACAACTCTTCAGGATGTTACTGGAACTGGCCCTGGAATATCTTCCAACATCAAAACCTATTTTATCTTGAGATGAAATATCTTTTTCTAACATGTCTTAAGCATTCTGTATTCTTCAGACAATCTTTGAAAGATCATATACTGTGTCACTGATGAGTCAACAAAGAAGAAAGATGCTTTATGCTATAATTTAATGAACTACATAATAGAAACAGGAGACTACTAACTTTTAAAACAGCCCACAGAGGGCTCCAAATAATAAACATCCTACTTGAGCAGAGATGATGGCAGCTGAAAATGCATTAAGGAGACAGAGAAACAAAAACAAATGAAGGTGAGAACTCAGTCAAGTAGGCTGAAGTGGAGGAAACACTTTGTCAGGAGCTCATAGCCCATGATAGTGCTAATGTGTTTTGCATTAGTGTGATGCCTATAGAATACTGACTCCTGGCATCAGAGTTAATGACAAAAATCCACAACAGTTTTACTGTATACACACATGCAGGAACAATAATATCATAGGAAAAGTTCTTACCTGTTCATGTTTCCAGGTTTTTAAAATAATATTGTAGCATGTGAAAGAACTGGTAACAAATGGTGACAGTTATTACATAAATGTTTTATTGTTCTGAATTTGAGTTTTGATGAACAGTTGATGAAACAAGAGATCAGACAGTACCAGAAACATACATCAAATTGAGTTATTTTTAGAATGTTGTTCAGAGGATGAGATTAATCAGGCTAAACTTTTAGTAAGAGGATTACATATATATATATATCAATATTAGGAGGATTTGTGGCTTCATTAGCAACTTCAGAGGAAGAAGTACCTTCATATGCTACTGACTAAAATAATATACTTTCTGCAACTGGATGAAATTCATAAAATAAATTTCAACCCTGGAGGGTTATAGAGGGGATAGTGCTATGTGTCTCAAATAATTTGCCACTAGTCTTGTCACCTAGTCTAAGCCCGTGTTGTTGGCAGTCAGGACCCAGCCTATGCTGCAAGGTGAAGAAAAAAGGCCTGAAGTCAGTACAGTAAAGGGGAGGGCTTTTGGCTGCTGAAACAACAGAAATCTGCTCCTCAATGGAGTTTCTGTATATGGACTGTACATCCAGAACCCCTGGCAGTGGCGTAATCTGGTCTTGAACCCATTTCCTCTGTCTCTCTTTCCTATGTGGCACAAAGTTGGTATGTGCATGCTTGTGCCAGCATCATGCCAGTTCTGGGCGGTGGCAGGCCAGTGAGAACGTGAGTTGAGAAGCTGTCAGGGGGTCTTTGCATCATGGTCTCCTGAATTTGGAGCATTTTGAGTTAGCTGGTGAGTTAGAAGAGTTTTGAAGCAATTACAGGCAGCATGGAAGTTAGGCCAATAACAAGGTTAGAGGAATATGAAAAGGACTCTAAACTGTCCCCAGAGCATTTGCAAATTTGCTGGTGGTTCCTTCTTTTTATGGTAAGTAGAGTAAGGCAGAAGAAAATTAAAGGACTTCCCAAGATTAGAGTAAGTCATGTTGGGAACAAGATTAAAAGCTTTGTCTTTCATCCCCAGGGTTATGCCTCTAAACTCCAAAAGCAGAGAGTTTGAGAACTTGTCTATGTAAAGAACTACAGCTGATGCCAGCTGAGCCATATGTAATATCAGTATAGCTGACTCAGCATTTCAGTTGCATCTCATCAGACTTGAATCTTGGCAGGGAGGTACCATTTTACTCTGTTAAAATACTCATATAGCTGCTAGGCTCAGATCTTTTTAAGCGTAAGATTTTGGAGTCTCTAAAGGCATGTTTCTGCCAACACTTACGGAATACTATCACTTAGTGCTGGGGTAGGTGTTTCAGAAATTCTTGTTACAGCTTGAAATGATCTGCCTTTTATGTCCTTAATTAGAGGAATTCTTGAATTGCTTGCTTTTTGCACTGCTGAAGCAGGTTGAATTCTTGTTTGATTGTGATAAAGATGTATATCATAACCTTCTATGAACTGTGATTTTATGTCTGTATGAAAAGCAATATAAGTATTCTATCTTCCATTCTTCCCATTTGAATTGCATTAGCGTTATTTTTGTCCTCCACCTATTTCCTCCCTCCAGCTCCTCAGGTTTTTCATTTTCCTGTTTGGGTATGCACCAAGGTGCCCACAAAGTTCTTAGAAGCATAGCTGAGCAGTTGGGCACTTCAGTTTGCCTGTTTTGCAAAAGGTTGAACCCCTTCATTTTTATTAATATGTTTATTTATTTTAGGAATTAGCTTTCAATATTTTATACTTTGTATTTGAGATGAGGAGGGTGTATTCATATGGTTTGGGTGAGAAAGGTATATCACATTGGGGCAGGACAGAATAATTCCACGGGGTTTTGGGTTTCAGCAGAAGAGCACTTGGGCTCTTCGTGTGACAGAAGAATGAACCAGCATAGCAGTGATGTCTGTAATTTCTTACCTAAAGGGAGACATGAGAAATTCTTTCTTTTCTCAGGTACAATGAGATCACTGCTGTTCTCTCTCGCAGGTACTCATCACACAGGCATATTTGATCTCTTTACTTAACAATACTCCAGTCCTAAGTATCGAATAAAAATTACTGTTACCTGAACTACTTGCTTACCACTAATCTTAAATCTCCAGCAGTATCGTGGTGGTGTTACTTTTAGTGGTGGACTGAATTGGAGGGAGAAAATGAGCAGTAAATACAATTTGAGGAGAGGATATAGCATGTACTGCTCTTAAACATTGCTAGAAACACTTGAACGTTTTTGTAATAATTCTTTTCCTTAGATTATTTTACAGTGAAGTTGTGTAGTTGGAAATGGGAAAGCAGGGTGATTCATGAGACTGCAAGTGGGAGAACTGGCTGAGGGTCAGAGGCTTTAATACCTGCCTGGGGGGTTAGCTTATTCCCATTAATTTTCAGAAGAATTTCTGGAATGCCATCAGGGCTTCACTCCCTTGTGCTTTTGCAGAGACCATTTCTACAAGTTTTTTATTCTAGCATCTAAACAAAAGCTAAAGTTGGACAGCCATTAATAATTGCTTAAAATAACTTCTTGCAGAAGGGTTCTAGTAGAGAAGTTACATGTGGCCTACAGCAAATTTGTCAAACAATTTCAGTTAGAGAAAATATTTTTTATTTACTGGTTTATAATGTTAGCAGTATTGCAGTGCCTTATACTGTTGGTAACAGCACATTTCATTAGCTGGGAAGGGAGCCATGACATTATCATGCAAAACGCTGCCAATCTTGGTCTCTGGAGTAGTTGCATCCAAGCTACTGAAGTATTCACACAACTAAAACTGATGAAATGAGTTCAGGAGTACAAAGTTTAATAGCTCAAGATAAAGTACTGCCTGTGGTACTGATAGGATAGATCTTGCAGAATCGTGAAATGAAAAAGTAATTTTAAATTAATGTCCCTGAATGAGCTACTACTATTTGTACATATCTTCTGTTGATGGTTTAGATACAGAAAGAGAAACTAATAAGTTCTTATTGAAGATTTTTATTTGATCATTACAAGAGAAACCATGAACAAAGGAACTGCTGCAAAATTGTACTTTTTTCTGTTTCCTCTTGCTTTCGGTACTTAGAATATACAATTTTTATTCAGTCTGGGTTAGTCTTGGGTGAACTAAATGCAGGTCTACTTAGGATTTAGTAACTAGTCTATGTGTTTGTATTTAAAAATCTTGCTGCTGGAAAGCATCCTACTACCTGTTCAAATTATGTATGCTTTAGGTTGAAATCACATCTTAACTATGTCTTTTCTTCCATGGATTACAGTTTATAGTGATTAGTTTATTTGAGATTATCAGAGAGAGATCATAACATTGTCAGGGTGCAGAAGAGCCATATTTTTAACTCTGAAACACTTCATGTAAAGCCAACAGTATGAATGAGCAGCCATATGTACCTATGTCCCTCAGGGCAAATGCAAGCATTCCTGAAATGAGATACAAAGAAACAAAAGTAAGAATGTGATCTCAGGACTTTACAGCTCTCTTCTGTAATTGTAGTATATCAAGATACAGTGTTTATGTGTCCTATTGTGGGTTTCCATTTCTTATGGTTTGTTTTGTTTCAGCCTCTTGGAGCCAGTGACTATTTGGAAATATCAAAGCATTTTGACACAGTGTTCATTCGTGACATACCACTTCTTACAATAGCAAAAAGGACACAAGCTCGTCGTTTCATTACTCTTATTGATACCTTTTATGAGCATAAGGTGAGAACCAAACCTTTCCTATATGTATAGGAATAATACTGGGAGTCCTCAAACCTGACTGTTACAATTGGTTTGAAGTAAGGCTTTCTGTAGTAATGGTTTGGAAAACATAGGCAGAATGAACTAGCACTGCAAAGAAACATTGTTCCAGCTTCAGCAAAAAAAAAAAAAAACACACCATTGCAATAAAGGCAAATAAAGCAGGGTGGGGTTGTTTTCTGTGAGTATTAAGCATAAATATAAACCTGAGCTCATTTGCCTTTCTTGAATGGGCATGTTATTTCTTTCCTAACTTGGGAAAACAACAGAAGCCATGTCATTTTAATAATGAAAGATTGTGCTGCAAACTGTGCTGGAGTCAATTTAAGTTTTTTAGATTTTAATCTGTATGGGCAGTTGGTCAGGAATCAGTGCCTTCCTGATCAGGAAGGAGGAGTTAATAGCACAGTTACAGTGTAAAGGAAACAGTTACTGTAGGCTTTACACCAGGTTGCAAAATCGCTCATGGAATAGTAATGATAAATGCAGAACTTTATGTGGATTTACAGAGGTTTCAATCATGGAATAAAAATCAGCACAACTAAAACAAAGGAAAGCTCCTGTTTTAGGTGATATTTTTAAAAATAATGCAAGATATTAAACCCTGGTTTAATATGCATTATTATAGTTGTGCACATTTAAATATTTATGTGGCCAGGAAATATTGATTGAGGTTGGTTTTTTCAAGAATGTTCTGGCACTGGTTGCTGATCTGAAAGGTGCCAATTCAGCAAGGTATTGAACTCAGTGTATGAGTAGTCTTATTCAAATCAGCCAGATTCTTTATGCTTTATGATTTGGAAATGGACAGTTTCTAAGAGGATATACTAGTATTAAACTAATGTGTTAGAAATAGGGGGGTGGTTTGCTCTATCCATGTGCTGTAATTAAGAATTGCAAGCAGTCACTTTCTATTACTTCCTCCACAGGAAAAACACAAGTGTTAAACTCCCATCAAAAGTAGTTGCTTGGGAAAAATATCCGAGAGAGTATTTGTGGATACCTGTCCACAATGCAAACATTTTGCCTTCATGCTCTCAACAAGAGTCTCCTTCTGTAGTGCTATTTCAGTCTGTCTTCCTTCCAGCCCCCCCGAGATACCACATCTCACTGCACATTGTATCTCCTCCCAGCAGACATGAAAACAGCATTATTGTAACTAGCAAATAACTTTTACTGGAATAGCACAGATGAAAGAAAGAAAGACTTCACTCAGCCTTCTGGGAAATTTGGAATTTAAACATTCTTTAAATGGAAATACATGTGCAGTGCACCTATCTACTGAGAGGAATCTAACTGAAGGCGTTGGTTACTACGTAGTTGTTATATTGTAGAAAGTAAACTTTATCATTAACTCATTGCCTATAGCAGATATTCTGAGTATTTAATAGCACAGTTGTTTGTTCTCTGAGTAAAAGTTACATGAATTGTTACTGAGAAAAAGATCCTGTAATTTTAATATTCCAAATGACTAAGTCAGGTAAATCTGTAACAGCAGTGCTAATAAGAGAAAGGAAAAATACCTGGGAAAAACCCCCAAGGACATAATTTGTAGTTTGCTTTCCACAGATCATGTATTTTATCCCTTTTCTGTAAATCCCAAGTGTTGATATTTTTGCCTGTTTTCCTCCTCTCAGGTGCGTATTATCTGTTCTGCAGTGACTCCTCTTGAAAGCTTGTTCCTGGTGGAACACAGCAGTGGTGAGCAAGAGGACAACAGAGTGTTGATGGATGATTTGCACTTGAGCCAGGTACATGATATTAACATCATCTCCCTTTTGTAACAAAATTTGGTTTCAAAATAAATTCATAATTACAGCAGCATTTTAGGAAGAGGAACCAAGAAAACATTTAACAGGTGATTTGCTGCTTTTTCTGCAGTGTATCTGTTGCTCTGATAATTACATGTTGTGCTATTTATTCATAGTAAAAGAAAGTGTCACAATATACAGAACCATTTTGTGTAAGTTTTAGGGTCATTTCGAATGTTAATCGTTGTATCTGTTCAGTCATGTATGAAAATAGTGATTTAAGTTTAGCTCCTACATTTAAAATACAGAAATAAAAGGTGGTCTGTTCTACCTCTTCCTAGATTATCTAGAACAGCCTTACAAGTCCTCACAGACATTACTAATTTGCATGTTGGTTATTCTGTTTTTCTTTTTCCCTAGAGCCTAGCTATTGTTAATGAATTATTAAATAATTTGTTTAAATCAGTGTGCAATTAGTCAACAAAAAAAAGAGAAAACATGTCATCGTGTTGTTTTAAAACCCAGTTATTCTTTTTGCCTTGTTCCTTCAGAGGATTACCTAGCTAAAATAGGTTCTTTAATTTTGGACGTTAATTTTAATTTTTTGGTGCCATGCTGCTGTCTTGTTTTGTCAAGGCCTGTAAAGCACAGAGCCTTAGGAGTTATACAGGATGTATTTCAGTACAGCTTTGTCTCTCACAGTTCTGTGGTACTGTTTTTGTATATTTATGTAGGATTCTGCCAAAGGACTCTCCATGTTTACAGGAGAAGAGGAAGTCTTTGCCTTTCAGCGTACTCTGTCGCGACTTACGGAGATGCAAACTGAACAGTACTGGAAAGATGGGGACAGAAGCAAAAAAACATAATTAAAAGTTGAATGAAATCACCAAGAAGTAAAAGTACAGCACTGGAAAGCTTTTTAGCACAACTGAAATAATAATTGCACTTTATCATCTGGACCATGTTTTCTTTCATCAGTTGTCTTTCAAGTTTAAGACACAATGACTTAGCTATTTTTTTGTACCACCAGTGTGTGGACATGTGAAATTTGGCCTTCATTTGCTCTTCTTCAAACCTGGCTGGATGGCCTGGCCCAGAGAGTGATGGTGAACGGAGTTGCATCCAGCTGGTGGCTGGTCACCAGTGGAGTTTCCCAGGGTTCAGTATTGGGGCCAGCCCTGTTTAATATCTTTATCCATGATATGGAAAAAGGGATTGAGTGCACCCTCACTAAATTCACAGAGGATGCCAAGTTGGGTGGGAGTGTTGATCTGCTGGAGGGTGGGAAAGCTTTGCAGAGCAATCAGGACAGGACAGGCTGGATCAGGCCTGGGCTAAGGCCAATTGTATGAGACTCAATAAGGCTAAGTGCTGGGTCCTGCCCTTGGCTCCCAACAACTCCCTGCAGTGCTACTGGCTGAGGGAAGAGTGGCTGAAAAGCTCATCAGTGGAAAAGGGCCTGGGGATGCTGGTCAACAGCGGCTGAACATGAGCCAGCAGTGTGCCCAGGGGGCCAAGAAGGCCAATGGCATTCTGACCTATCTCAGGAATAGTGTGGCCAGCACGACAAGGGCAGCAATTGTCCCCCTGTACTGGGTACTGGTGAGGCTGCATCTCAAATCCTGTGTTCAGTTCTGAGCCCCTCACTACAGGAAGGTCCTTGAGGTGCTGGAGTGAGTCCAAAGAGCAACAAAGCTGGTGAAGGGTCTGCAGCACAAGTCCTATGAGGAGAGGCTGAGGGAGCTGCGGGTGTTTAGCCTGGAGAAAAGGAGGCTCAGGGGAGACCTTAGCACCCTTTAAACTGCCTGAAAGGAAGTTGTAGCCAGGTGGGGGTGGGTCTCTTCTCCCAGGCAGCTGGCAACAGGATGAGAGGACATAGCCTCAAGCAGCACCAGGGGAGGTTCAGGTTGGACATCATGAAGAGTTTCTTCACTGCAAGGGTTGTCCAGCATCGGAACAGGATGCCCAGGAAGGTGGTGGAGTCACCTGCTAGAATCCTGGAACTCCTCTGTAGTGTGTTATGTTTTGGGGTTTTTTTTCTATTTTCTGAGTCTAGCCATCTGCTGGCTTTCAGGCTCTAGGAGTTTTTTGTAATCAGGCTGTTGCTCAGTCTGGTTCATTGAAGACTATGGTTTGAACCAAGAGAGAACCCTGAGGAGGAGCTTGAAGGTACTTGAAACTGCACAGGATTAAGATTTAAGTAATTGATGGGGAAAGAGACTATGATAAGACAGGGTATGCTGTAACATAAATGCCAGTTAATACTCTTTCTAAATTTTGGGGTTCTTGCAAGTCTGGATATGCTGCCTCTACACCAGTGACATATCTGTACCCTGAATTTTCTCAGGCTTCATCTATACCAAACCTTCCACCGCTGCTGATACACCTGCCCTGATCTGGGAAGAGTAGTACACAGTACTACTGAAGCAATTCATCATATTACAATAGGAATGTGTTTTATGGAAAAGGTGGGATAGTAACTGATATCTCAAGACACATCATCCACCCTCGTGATTGTAGTTGAAAATTTTATATTTTAGTTAAAAATGCAGTGGTGTCATTCTTGATTTTAATCTCACTGAAACAAAACATGACATTGTGTGTATTCACTTATAGTGTATTTTTATAAACAGTCATTTTAAGAGCTTATTTATAAATTTTGAGTAGGAAAAAACATGTAGATGGACTGAAAAAATTGCCTTCATTTCTTAGGGAGGAGATATGTAACACACTGCTCCCAAAGCTGAGGGGTTTTCTTGGATTTTGCAACATGACCTTTTTCTATCTGTTACCAAACATTTTTTGTTGCCTTTGTTAAGCCTGATCAAATTGTTTCAGTCGTAGCCTCCACCACAATTACAGAAAGCTTTTAAAAGGACCTTCTGGGCAGCAGGGAGGGCTGGAGAGGTCCTGTGCACTTGCCTGTCTTATGGAGCCACATACTCAAGTCTGGTTTTCTGTTCTGATCCCTTCTGTTGGTCCTGGCATTTACTTATACTGGCTATACCTGTTCTTCAAATAATGTTTAAAGCCTATATTTATAGTTTGCAACTCATGCAATTATGTTATTATTCCCACAAGAGTGACTACCACAGAGAATTTTAATGCATATTTATGAAAACTTTATGAAAGAGAATACGTTACTTATACTTGAAAATATACGAATAATTGGTGTATGTTTTCAGAGATTTGGATTAAGTTTCTCAACAGAGGGACTATCGAGATTCATGCATGTGTGTCTGTATATACAAACACATATGTATATTTAATTTATATGTGTATATATAAATCTAGATGAAACTAATATATATAAATTAAGTGTGTGTGCTTCTATATTTATACATGGCAGTCTGTACTTATCAGCCTGGGTCTGTGCTGATAACTTGCCTGAAGTTTCAACCTTGACTTTTTTCCAGTAGCATTCAAATGCCTCCTGCCTTCTCTGAACCAGAATGTGTTGTGGGAAAATGGGAGATGGTGGTAGATACCCTAAAGCACTTTGCATCTGGATATTTATTTATATTCTTTTAAAAACTGTTTACATGTTTAGCTTGTATGTCCTCCTCTGTCATGTGGTACAGGGGAAGCGCATAATCTTGCAGAACACAGGTGAGATGTTTGGGATGTGTGAGAGAAGAGGTCCTGGCAGGTTCTGCATTCCCAGAGAGACTGTTTTGGGACAGGGAAGTGTTTTTCCACAGTCTGTGTGGGTGATGACTAACCTCCTTTAACCAGGGAATCCCTGTTTGTGTTCAAACTGTTGCTGCTTTGCCAATTGTTACTTGAGGCTTTTCTGCAATCTGAGTGCACACCCCAAACTCGGATGCCCCAGGTTTTTGGAAGCTCCTAAATGCAGTGGGACTGATGTATCATTGAAAGCCTCTGAGGATATAGGTAAGCTCCATCGAACCACAGGAGGAAAGTTCCCAAAAGCCTCCAGAGCCAGTGCTGCTTCTAGGGCATATTGCTAAATAAAACCACAGTGCAGTCTTTCCTTGGCCAGCAAGGAAGCCACCTGTTAGGAGTCACTGGTAGGTACCATCAGTAATCAAGGAGAAGAAATGAGGAAGATTCCAGAAGTGTTTTGGGGCTGAAAACAAGAAAAGCTGCTTAAATCACTGTGCAGTATTTGTGCTTGCACTGCAGAGGGTGGATTGCCACTTTTGGGTCAGGCCCATAAGGAGACAGGTTTGTCAGCCAGCCCAGATGCCGGGGTGGAGATTCACCCAGGAACTGCAGAAGAAGCACATTTATGTCCATCTACCTCCCCAAAGAAAGTGAGGCCCTATTTGCTTATTTTATGATGCTGCTAATGGTGCTGTAGTGTGTGTAATGTTTCTTTCTAATGCTGAGTTGGGGGCACTGCTTCTGGAGTCAGACAACTTCATGCAATTGGCACTGGCCAGAATCTTGCACTGGGGCACCGTGAACAACGCTGGGTGTGTCCTGCCCAGGGTGCTGGGTCACCTGTGCTGTCCTGTGCCCTGCTGCCTGGCCTGCTCCTAGCTGCTATGAGACAGCAGTGGTCCAGGACTTTTTATTCCCACATTAAGATGGTGTATTTGCCAAAATGTAAACAGTAAGATGCCTGTGAGTAAATTATGCACACTCCATAACGGCCTTAAAAATTGCGGCATGCTTCTATCCCAAGTTCAAGTTCTGCCTTTTTAGATTTTCCTTAACTTGCAAATTCACGTAATCTCAAATCTAAAACAAGTTTCTATTTCCTTTAGTTACTCAGCAAGCAAGTTATTTTTAAAGGTCTTTTCAAGTAACCTTTAATATTGATTTGCTATGATATTTTGCTGTCACAGGAGGTAAAATACTTGGGATTATGCACCATGTGAAACATTTCATGTTGGTTTCTAAAGGTCGCGTCCTGACTGAGAATCTCTTAACTAACTTCTTTCAAATACTCGATTGACAAAGGAATGTTCACAATGCCCAAAAATTTAACTTTTTTTTGTTTTTTAAATAAATAATGCAGTTCTGTCTTTCAGAGTTACTGGTTTTCAGTATTTGTCTTTGCACAGATTGAGGGAACAATTGCAGTATTTTGGGTAGAACAAGACAGCCTTCCAAAGGCTTTGGAGGGACTGAAGATCTTTTTGATGGATGGGTGGATGGATTAAAGCACATTTTGCTGTGGCTGGTTTCTGATCTGAAAAGGAAAACTGTTAGAGACTTTTTTTTGAGTAAAGATGTTCATGATGACACTACAGCTGGATAGCTATCACCTATTTTTCAGCAATCTAAACATGAAAAGGAACAACTGACCAGGTTTCAAACAATGCTCAGCACAGTCACCAACCCTCTAACAAGGAGGAAGAACAGTCTCTCCATCAAGACCTGGCAAACAGGATCAAGATTCATGATTTTAATTTCTGCAGTTGCCTGGATCTCAATATGCCTGGTGCCTCAGTTTCCCTGTTGATAAAATAGGAATGATGTTACTTTCTTATTTGCTAACTCTGGAGTGCTGCCAGGCTTCCCTCATTAATATTCTAAGATGCTTGCTCAGACTCTGGGAGGAAACTACTTCAGTAAAGTATGTAAATAGTGCAAAAAAATAATTTAGCTACTCAAAGTGGATTAGTCTCCTTGTTTGGGTTGCAGAATTAATGCCATCAACTAAACACCATGTGCCTCTTTGTAGTGATGGTTTTTTTAAAATAATGCATCTATTTTAAGAGTCTATTTAAAGAAAAAATATTTAGATTTGTGATTAAAACCCTAAACCATTTGTATAGATTTTCTTTTACTTGTAATGACAAATTTCCTATATGATTCATTACAACCTTAGCTCCTATATTTGTGAAATACAGTAGCTTTGCAAATTCTGTTGGGATTTTCCTTGTATACTGAGCTTTTTTTAAAAAATATGTCATTTTGAATCTAATATATAACAAACTGAACATTGTCAAATCCTTCTGTTATTTGAGAATAACTTATGTTGTAA